CTTTCCCAACCAAACACTTAACACCTGTGGTCCTATTAAGTCTTAAGAATTTTTCTTCTTCTCAATCCTCTAGTAGATTAAGGCTTTCTATGGATGGGACAGTATCTGTTCCATCAGACTAACAACTACAGATCAGTGAGGACCTCACCAGCTTCCCCTGAATTGCCTTGCTCTCCACACTCTTTGTAGGAGCCCTTCAGCCCCTGGTGTGGCTGACTTTTGTGTGCATCACCTACCGCTAAGCTGCCCAAACCACCTCAGCATGCCTGCTCCCCAAAGACACAGGGCCTGGGTGGGGCACCCAAACCCGCCCAGCTCAGCACCCAAGGAGGTTCAGTGCCTGCTATACCATCACCAACTCAACACTCAGAATCTCAGGCCCTGAGAGGTTATGGGGACAATCCAGAATCAGAGCTGCCTGGCAAATCTCCAACAGCCCCAGGACAGGGAGTTTAACTGATAAGGTCAGAGATGGCAGCCCAGCAACCCAGCCAACCAGAGGGCAAATGAAAGCAAGACACCTCTGGGGTCATAAAGTGGGTGAGCAGAACACCAGGCCAGAGCTAGCGCCCACCATGAAGGACCAGCCCCAGGAAAGAAGCTGGGGGAGGCTGGAACTGGTATCCTAGCATCCTCTGTGTGAGTCTGTACCTCAAAGGAACCACACCTCTGAGTCAGACATCAGCAAGAGCAGGAACCAGAGGGTAGGGAAATACAGGGATGAAGAGGAGAAGGCAGTTCGGAGGCAGAAGAGGAAGGTGAAAGAAGGCAGCATCAAGAAACAGTCTGTGTCAAGACAACAAGACAAAGGCAAGGGTGTCCAGGGGTGGCTGCCCTGTGGAGTAAGAAGGATAGCTAGTCTGATAGTGAGGGCAGATTCCCAATTTGAGGACAGTGTGGCCCAGGAAAGACAGAAACCCAGCACTGGTACAAAAAAGGAAAAATGCAAAGGTTATCTTCAATTAGGAATAAGGGGAGTCGCCTGCCCAGATTAGGAAAGATGACTGGTTGAGCATAAACCTGGGAGTGGGTTGATGCCTGTTAGAGGGGCTTTGGAACAGAGGAGGCCTTTAAGTCAGGAGACCTGATATTACAGCTGGGCCTCCAGCAGGCTGTGTGACCTTGGCCAAGTCCCTTCCCCTGTCCCCCTGTCGGGGCTTCAGTCTCCTCATCTGTATCACTAGGGATTGCACTGAATGCGCTCAGACACCCTGACGTTCCGAGGTTCCATCAGCAGAAGGGCTCAGTCCTGGTTTACAAGTTTGTGTGTGAAGGAAGAACTAGAGGGAGGGGCCTAGGCCAGATTCGGTGTAGGAGAGAGAAAGCAGAGCCGTTCTAGGTCAAGGAGCCTGGCAAGGAGGGAGAAGGGGCTGTAGGGGACGGTGGAGAAGGCAGGCCCAGGCCCAGGCCCAGGCGGGTGGGAAGAGGAGGGAAGAGAAGGGGCTGCGCGGGGTTGGAGAGGGGGGTTAGTTCTGGAGGGAGGTGCAATCTCAGATAAGCGGCTGTCCCAAACGGCAAACGGGTCGGGGGTGGGGAGGGGATGGGGAGGGGATGGGGGCAGAAAAGGCAAGGGAGTAACCTGGGAGTGGGGCAGGATCTGGAGGGAGGAGGTTACCCTGGGCCGGGGGTCGGTGGAGGGAGGTGCATGTCGGGGGACTCTACCCCGGACAAGGGAGGGAGCTTTCTCAGCTGCGGCACAGGCTGGGGGTGCGACCAGCAGCCGGGGCGGAGGGCCGGCCACGGGAGTCCTGCGGGGGCCGGACGGGAGGGTCAGTCTGGGGCTGTCCCGGGCCTGGCTCGGGCCCCTCCCAGAGCTCCGCGCAGGCCCCGAGGCGGAGGCGCGGGGAAAAGAGCCACGCTTACCTTCTCCTTCTTCAGTTTATAGGGCATCTCGGCCCGTCCGGACCCGGTCCGGCTCTTGCGGCCCCGCTCCGGCTCCGGCTTTGCTCGGCCGCACTCGGCCCGCTCGGCTTCTCTTCGCCACCGCCTGCGCGCTGCGCCCGGGTCGAGCGGTGTCTGTGTCTCCAATTGGCCCGAACTCTTACAAACCTGCCTGACAACCAGGAGCCGCCTTCTCTGATTGGTCATTGCAACCAAGCGGCTTCCTTTTTTTCTCATTGGAAAGGAAGAGTACAAACCGCCAGGGTTCGGCTCCCAGAATTGGTTGAAGTGGGAGGTCCCGCCCTAAAGGGGGTCGAGCTTAGCGTGAGAGGCGCGGGTCAGGGGATGCCCGGGCTTTGCACCCAGTGCTGCACTTCGGCGTCTGGTCGTTCTTCGGCCTCGGCCGTTCTTCGCGGCCCGTTCAGTTCTAAAGTGGTTCTC